CAGAATATCAAGTATGCACATTAAAAAATTAAGTTCAGTTTATTCATGAAATATTGTACATACTTATTTATACTAGTTTGCCCTCACCCCTTTTATCGAGGTGTAACTTGAAGAGCAGGCCACCTCATGAATTTCAATGAAAATTAAACATAACTTGTTTGCGTAAAAAATCCATTACCGAAACAAAGGAAAGGGTTGATAAATTACATATATGGGGATTCCGCATCATCATTTAGAATGGCCAAAAAGTGGTTTACAGAGTTCCTGTGTGGTCGTACCAGCACAAATGACTCTAGAGTTGCCTGTATTTTTATTACTTTTTTTTTACGCGAAATGAGTACCTTTGACTTTTTCATGCTATAAAAATCAATACTTCTTAGTACACTTTTATTCAAAGAAAAATTATGAATCGAAGTAACAGAAAATACTTTAAAACGCCAGAGTTCTTCTATTTAACAATATATAAATAAAATATAGTTCATAAAAAATAAAAGTATTATTAATTTTAACATTAAATTATTTTATATTTATGTCATTTTTGAATAGCAATAATGAGATCATTTCCATTTTCTTTGTTTAAATAGTCAAAGAATGCCATACATTTCATTTTAAAATTACCGGTTTCTCTTTTTGCGCCGGGAAACAAACTTTGTACTTAAGATCCTCTCAATTGCTTCGTTTCAGTGGTATTGAAAAAAAAAAAACAAAATTAAATACCTTTTCAAACTGTGAAAAAGTACCATTTATTAAGGACTTTATCTATATTTCCTCATGGTTAAAATAATTTTTTCAACTACGCAAAAACTTTTAACGACTAAGAATTCACCAAAAACAACTTTAATTTAATTATTTTCTTCTTAATTTTTACACTACAGTTTGAGGAAGTACCAATGCTATGTGAAAACCTTAAGAAAGTCCTAAGGTTTTTTTTTTTTAATTGAAAATTCGGTACAAATCAGTAAAAATTTTTAGAAATCAGGACATTAGCGTACTGATTGAAGAAATGAATAAAATCAGTACTGTACTGATAAAATCAGTACGTCTGGCAACTGTATTCACAAAGAGTTGCCTTATCAAATTTGGTTTGCACACAACCCGATTTCGGCGTTATGCTGTTACCAGTATTATTTTTCGTTCTATATATACTACGAGAAATTACACATCGCCAAAACCGGGTCTTATCCCACAACAAATGTGACAAGAGATGACGGTTATTCATTCCGAAATACACTATAATTTCATCATGTGGAAATAATCCTTCTAATGATGAAGTAAATAAAAATTTTGTTACAAAAATTCTAACCACTCGGGTGACTGCTCATAATGACTAGAAGCCAGTTGATGTAAATACTCTCGTAACTGCTGCTTGCTTTCCTTCAACATTTTGTGCAAATACGAGTATCCTTGTTCAAATAACCTTTAACGCTTCGCAACTTTTTTCCCCAAGAACAATATTTACATGTGAAAATATCTTAATTTTCTATCCATTACACATTTTCCATCCTCTCCACAGAATTCCTACTTTCCGATCAACAACAACACAACGTACTCGGTGTGCTCGGCTTCTTGCGTCTGCTGCTGCCATTAATCATACATGGATTCCGCACTGATTGTCCGGATGATTGCGACGATGGCCACCACAGCCCACAAACACACGTCGGAATCAATAATAAAAGCAAAGCAAATAGCTCCAACAACAACGCCACTCAACAGCGCACGACGCAGATTGGTGGTGGAGTGCAGCAGCAGGCACCTACGAGTACATCATCAACGGCAATCAACACAGAGTGCAGGCAAATTATTGAAATTTTCGATTATTGTTTGCATTTGTTGAACATCAGCAGTGCTTCACAACATTCCATCATAAATGCCGCACTCGAGGTCATCAATGCAGTGCTGCAGGCACTCGATGTGGCAAACAACAATAGTAACAACAACTCGAATAGCAGCCGAGGAGGCAAAAATAACAAAAACAATAACAATTATGATCTTGTAAAAAGTTTGCAAGCAGCATTGTGCAATCAACAATTGCAACATGCCGAGTATCTGCGGCGAAGGAAATCATTAAAGAATCAAATATTCCAATTGAGAAATTATGAAGTGTCAGACGCAGTACCGTGCGAGGAGAGTGCAGTAGCTGAAGCTGGGGCTGGTGTACCAAAGGGGCGAGCTGCTGGCATGTTAGGGGAGAAATCCGAGCAGAAACGGGGAGGTGCTGGGGATACCCTCACAACAGTGGCTGACAGCGAAGGTGAAGGTAAGTCAAGAAGTGGTGATGCGTTGGCTTTAATGTAAGTAGTGGAGGTGATGGTTATGGTAGAGATAGTCCTGGTCCTGGTGTTGGTGTTGGTTGGTACACGTGGCGGTGGTGTTGAGGTGGCATATAAATTAGGAATGCAAAATATTGCAAATGTAAAAGCGCAGCAACCACAACAATAACAATAAAAACCAGAGTGACAAGTAGAAAAGCAAAAGCACGGCAAGATGGCATCGCTTCAGTTCAGTTCAGTTCGTTCGGTGGCCACATCGATTCGTTGCTAATGTGAGGAGGGGAGCAGCTACTATGTTTGTTCACATCAGCATCGTTGTTGATAGTTGCTCTCTGCGTTAACTGCTCCGTTCCAGCAGTGACTTTGTACCACTCTTACTTGATGATGTTGACTTGCCGGTTAGTGCTGATGATGGAGGTAATGTAAATAATGGAAAATCTACTGTTTTTTAATTCGAATTATATGTAGGAGGAGGTGCACTACAAAATAGCTGCCCGCTCGAGTGTGCTCGAATGAAGGACAAGTGTTTGTTATTGTAAGTGTTATCTTAGGCGACGCTTGTACTTACTGCTTTTTTTTTTTGGTGGAATAGGACAATACTTAGTAAGTATATTTTATACATATCGTTATTTGTTTATGTGGGATGTGGAAACAAAAAATATGGCAACAACAGTAATTGCGGCGCAACCGTACATATGCACATTAGGGTGACCATCCAAAATGCTTTTTTTTTTGGAAATTTAAAGACCCTACCCCTAATTTTAATCGTTTTTAAGAGAAATATTATCGTCTATTTTACAACGCTTTTATCAACTTGCAATGTTGTGGCTCCAGAAACTTTCAATGTTGTGTGTCCGACACCATAAAACCTTTGCTTTGAAAAGTTCCTATAAAAAAGCATAGTTCATAGGGCGACATCTGTAGTGAATAGGGCGAGGTAGATGACATTTAGATGTCGCCCTATGTACTACGTTCGCTACAGCGGAAATAGACGACACGCCATTTCTTTAAATAAAATTAATTGGTGCTCGTTTGTATGTACATACATATGTAAATGCATGTGTGTGCACCTTTCTATTAATATCGTTGAATTATTTTAATATCTATCGCAAAATTTTATACAGACAAGACAAAAAAGTAGAAAATAAATAATATAAAAAAAAAACTTTTTAATATACAACGCTTTTATAAATGGACTAAAATGTAGAAAATAATATTTCTCAGTCCCATAGAATTTGTTTTGATAACTTTTGATTTTGAAATTTTAGCAAAAGTCGTTATAACCAATTTATGAGATTGAAAATGAAAAGCGTGGGGCGCATGCAATACAAAGCATTATACTTAATTGACAATAGGCAAACTACATAACATAGACCTAAAATTTTTTCAGCGAAAGTACAAATTTGAGATCGATTTTAAGCGGTCGTTATTCATATATCCACATACATATGAACATATATTACCCTTCATATCAATTCAGGTGGCTATTATATGCGCCCCACGCTTTTCATTTTCAATCTCATAAGTTGTTTATAACGACTTTTGCTAAAATTTCAAAATCAAAAGTTATCAAAACAAATTCTATGGGACTGAGAAATATTATTTTCTACTTTTTAGTCCATTTATAAAAGCGTTGTATATTAAAAAGTTTTTTTTTTATATTATTTATTTAGAGATTCTTTAACGGTCATTTAGAGGTTGCGACGTGCCGATTTAGGTGAGCAAATACGATTTTGTAGATTTATGAGTTTTTGAATGGCTAGTTCTTATTCGATTTCAAATATCGAATATGATCCGAGAAGAGGACTGCCGGACTTGGCTTGTTGCGGTTTTTATCGGGTAAAATAAAAAAAAAAATCCATACTTCTCTTAATTTTTTAAATTTTTACCATCAAAAATTCCACAATTTCAAAAAATATGTAGTGCTATCTAAAATTAAATTAATTTTTAAATAACCTGATAGATCATTTCTTGCAATCGCATAACAATTGTCGAAGTTAGGGGGCTTCTCTTAAATAAGACCTTGAATTTATATTGTGTATGTTTCAGATTTTTTGAGCAGTGTGGCTAGGGAATTCATCAATATTTACTCAAAATTTATATAAGCAATCGCTCTTTAGCAAAAAGTTTTTTTTCAAGAAATTTTAGGAAAAAGGGGGTGGCACCGCCCACTTATATGATATATGCGTATCTCAAAAACTACTTGATCGATCTTGATCAAACTTGGTATACACATTGAGCTTACTTAGCCTCCTAACTTCGACAGTTTTTGTGCGATTGCAAAAGTGATCTATCAGTTTATTTAAAAACAGATTTCATTTAAGATACTACGACATATTCGATGGTCAAAATCTAAAAATTAAGAGAAATATGGGACTTTTTATTTTACCAGACAAAAAATTCCAACAAGCGAAGTCTGGCAATAGATTATTATATCGATGGCTGAGTGGAAGATCGACCTATCTCGGCAGCCAGTTCGAAAATGCTCTATCTCAAAAAACTTTTCAAGAAGGCCCTATTTCAGATTTTAATTGAAAAACACCCTATCTCAAAATTCGGTTCAAAAGCGCCCTATCTCACTTCAAAATGTATTGAAAATATGCTGATATAGGGCGTTTTTGAATCGGCAGCTGAGATAGGGCGTTTTTGAAACGAATTCTGAAATAGGGCGTTCTTGAAAAGTTTTTTGAAGTAGAGCGTTTTCGAACTGGCTGCCGAGATAGGTCGATTTTCCACTCAGCCATCGATATACCGTTTTAAACGCCTATATATTCTCTTCGCAGAACATATTCGATCTTTGAAATCGAATAAAAACTAGCCATTCGAAAACTCATAAATCTACAAAATCGTATTTTCTGACATAAATCGACAGGTTGCGATCTCTAAATGACCTTCATAAAATCTATAAAAATTGGCAATAATATTTTTCCTTAAAAACAACAAAAGCATTTTCGATGGGCACCTTAATGTACATGCATCACGTAATTTGCCTGATTGCTTGGCAAATATGCGCGTGGATAAAAACTAAGGTGGGGTGGGGATTGACATTAAAACAAAATACGAGGGCAATTTGGAAAGCCAGTGACTGTTTGAATAAAAGATATATTTCTCGGAAAAAAGTACTTTATTTCTCAACATAGTCTCGATGGCTCGATACATTTACAAGCATATTATGCTTCGGTAACAAAAATTTTGTTACGGGCAAAAAAAGCTCCTTCCTAAAACTTTATAGCTGAACTGCTGAATAAATAAAAACGTTGCCAAGGTAGATGGAATTGCGATAATCAGGAGTGTAGAAAAGTTTTGGTAATTTTCCATTAACAAAATGTTTGTTAACAAGCAGATTAGCCCTGCTAGTTTAGCGTTTTTTTTTTTTAATTTTTTATTTATTCCTTCATAAATAATAGGTTTTCTCAAGGCGTTCAAAATAAGCGCTTTTTTCAGTGATACCCTCTTCATTCGACCCCAAATATTGGATCAAAATTGTTCAAAATCAATACGTAAAGTAGAATTTTGGTGCCAAATAATATTATTATGAGATTTGTGGAAAATGGGCGGGACCCCGCCCACTTATGATAGTAGCCGTTTCACCAATCCTTACAAGACTCGGTACGAGCCGTGCTTGGGATCCAGCTAAGAAATTTGTTGAAAATCTTTGAAATCGGGCAATATCCAAGCTCACCTCCCATATAGCGGTATTTTACAGAAACACGAAAACTGCGATAAATCAGTAACTATTGAAGCTAATTGACCCAAACCGATTAGATTATTATAAATTTTTGGATTTTGGGAATGGCTCCGCCCACTTATGACCAAAAATTTGTATCTTGATAATCGATTTGTCAATTTCCACCAAGCTCGGTACATTTAATAACCTTGGTACGAAAAACCAATTCGTTGCGAATTATTCAAATCGGACTAAAATTGCACCGACTCCCCGTATAACGGTAATTTTCGGCTAATTTGAAAACTCCGATATTTCAATAACTGAGGACGTTCATTTACTCCAAGTTAATACTTACAATAATAAATAAGACTGTTAGAGACTTTTAGGTAGTTTAAGGAAAGTTGGAACGACGATAGTTGATACCTACACCGGGTATGTAAAATTCGGTTTCGCCCGAATTTTTACTTTACTAGTTTTAGTTTATTTTTTTTCTTTTTTAATTTAATTTGAAGATGGTATTGTTTTAAAAACAAGAATATATATATTTTTTGAATTTCGCGTAAATTTTAGGAACTTATTTTTTTTAATCTTTAAACAATATTTTTTTTTTAGTTTATTTTCTTTTTTAATTTTTAGATCTTATTCTTTAAAAAAGAAGAAAAAAATGTTTAACTTTTATCTATTTTTAATTTTTTGATATAACGTTTTCTTTTGTTAATTTCAATTTCTTTTAATTTTTATATTTTACTTAAAAAAAAACTGTATTTGTTTAATTTCATTTAATTTTTAGGATCTTATTTCATTTCTTTTCAAGCTTTTTCTTTCTCTTTTTATAATTTGGACGCCTTTTGAACCGTGTTTCCGTCAAACTAATCGTGTTGGGTAAATTTGGTGGAAAAATTTTTATTTAACAAGAAGATTGACGCTTCATATGACCTTGACGGTTGAACCCCACATATGCTATTAACGTAGAATTTTCCGTTACCAGTTAAAAACCATTTTGACCTCGATATGACGTTGAAATTGATCCTCTCGTTATTTTGCCGCTCGCCATTGGAAAGCTGTTTTTAATGGATTGTAAAAAATTTAAAAAAAGTGTTAAGTTAAAAGAAAAATGGGCAGTGAACTCCTCCTAACGTTCTGCTTTGTTTTAATTTAATTTAATTTTCTTTTTTTTAAATTTAACATTCTTTTATTTATTAGTTTTTATTGTTTTAAAAAGAAAAATATATATTTAATTAATTAATTTGTTTCTGCTGTTTATGGCCTTATAAAAATTGTATTCAACAATTTTATTGAGCGTGAGGCCGTTCTTAATGAAAAATTTTGTGTGGAAAACAACAATAATTTACACAAAGGTAGAAGTTATAGCTGCTGTTTCAGAGGAGATTTTTATTATCACCCGGACGAACAGACTAAAAGCCGGACTGACCGGTCAAAAACCGGACACCTGGCAACCCTGATAACAGGAACGAAATGAATTTCGTAGTCTTAAATCAAAACCATATCCACTGACTTAACTGTTTAAAATATGTATTCAATGAATGTAACGGTAATGAACCCAAATCACAGTGACTTCGTCCTTTAAAATCTAAAGCTATGAGTACCACGTAAAAGAGAGCACTTGGAAATATCCAAAAAACCGTCCGTTGGTGCATCGCTAACAAAAACTAAAGGATGAAGTGAACAGATAGCCTAATTTTGCAGCACCATCAACATTTTCAAATACCCACTACCATCCTCACCCCACACATTGTGCAAACATATATCTCTATATTTATCTTTTCATCCTTGCAGTTGTACTGAGAAGAGCAGCAAACTTTCGATATGCCGGTCGTAGCATCAGCGAATGTGTTGTTGACGAAGATGATGATGATGATGAGACGCATAGAACCGCATTGTCAACAGATTTAGTTGCCGTTGCGCATACTGATGCCCATGTCATTGCCGGCGACATCTATGCTGGCAGTGTTGTTGGTGTGCTTGTCGATGTCGATGTAGATGACGATGATTTTACAACACTTTCGGAAATAAATGAACCACAACAGCTTAGGGCGTCAACAGCAGTTGCAATGGTGCCGCCATCCTACGCGCTCACAACAGCAACAATTGACGTTGATAATCTGATTGATGCAATCGACGCGACAACAACAACAACAACAACAACAACGACAATGACGGCGAGGACAACGACGGAAACTATCGCCTGCTCTGCCGCCACCGCTACAAGTATTAACAGCGACGGCAAGCACCCCAATATTAGCGCTGTGCACACAAAAATGCAAGGCATGCAACCACAGAAGCAGCAGAAACAACAACAACCTCAAACCGAGCAGCAATTGCTCGAAAGGCAGGTACGACCGCAAAATTTGCTTACTGCACCCTCGCAAATTGAAGCTCGAAGCGCTGAAGGTGGTGGGAGCGGCAGCAGTGGTGATGACAAATCACAACATTTGAGTGACATCGACAATGAATCCTTCAATAGCATTGATTTTGAGGCGGAAATCACCATAGCAGGTATGGGTGGCACTGGCAGCGCGGGAAGCGGGAATGGATCGCCAACAGTAGGCAATGCTGCAGAACGCATAGGCGCTGAAGCTGCTGCTGCTGTGGTTGACAGCGCCGCAAGTACCAAATTGAGCAGCAGCAGTGACACAATTGGCTCGTTCTTTAACAATTTGATTTCGAATGCAGGTGAGCTATTTTTCGAGACGAAGCAAAGGGCAACTAAAATGCTGCCGCGAGCGTAAGTGGAAATAGCAACAAACAGGCAGGCTTCTTGTTGACAGTGTTTTTGTATGCAAAGAGGATGCAATTTTCGTTGTTGCTTTTGATTTGGTGATACGTATGTATTTGTTTTTATACCCGAGCGCACTTGTGCACAAGGGTATTATAACTTTGTTCAC